AACCTTGCTTGAGGAGACAGCAAAAAGCTTCACAGCAAGTGTCTGTCTGTGACTGCACTCTTGCCTACAGGAAGCCACGACCACATGTCAGAGCAGGGAAGATGGCCGCGGGTTGTGTTCGTCACCTGATGCGGAGTTCGCGAACGGAAGCAAAATTTTGTGAACGCTGCTGTTCACAAACCGAATTGTTCGTGAACGGAAGCGTTCGTGAACAGAGGTATTACTGTATTCTTATACCAAACTAGCCAACTTTGAAAGCTATACTTCCTCAAATTATTATTTGATTTGTAACAAGATTCTTATTTAGTCTTAAGCATGCAGTACTATATTTAACTTTATTTTTCTTAGCCTCTGCTAAAACAAAGGTTTTGAAACCTGTGTCATTGGAGATTGTAATTATCCTACAAATTGCACAATTACACACATAGTTACCCTAGTTACACATAATTACACATAGTTTCATATAATTACATACACAGTTACATATATAGTTTAGACTGTGGATATTTTGCACAGTGCATTCCATTCAGCATCCAAAGTAGAACAGGATGGCTTTGTATCACAAAATGGTTCCTGAAATACAACATTCCCACACCCTCCACCAAAATCCTAGTTCTCTATTATCAATGCTAGGCATATTATTAGCCAATAACATCTCCATAATGTGAACAGGTTATGAAGACGCAGTAAAATAATTCACACTTAAGGTATGCAGTATTTAGACGCAAAGTGGGCAAGAATGCTTTGGATGTGGCTTAGACACCCCTAATATACCTGCTGGCTGCTCCTTGTGGAACCGTGTCTGGGGCGGGGGCGGGGGGTTTGGTAGCCATGCAGCTCAGAAAAATAAGTACTCCAGTTAACCTAAACACATTATTTTCCTGAGTCTCTGCAGCCTCAGAAAAGGCATTACTCTATTAAGCAGCAAAGGAGAGATACTTATGCAAAAATCCAAAGAATCCCTACTGTTTTCATATCCAAATATCATATACCTCTAATTTGTACCCTTTGGACTGAGTCAAACATACATTTAGTTTACACATACATTTCTCTGTGACAGATTCAAAAACAGTGTGCCACATGGGCACAGCAAACAGCAATCCGTACTGCATTTCTGGAGGCATGTAATGACTACATAGGGTCTGGGGACTTCCAGGGAGTCATACCTTCACACAGCTCTCACTGAGATAAATCTGCCCGTCACTAGAATAACTTTGGGTGTCTCCAGAGGCAGAGGATGCTATCCACTGTATTCTTATCCTTGGCATATAAACTCTGTTTTGCATGGCACAGAATGGACTTTTCATTAGATGCCAGATAGCAAGAGAACAGCTGCATGGAAAAGATAAGAATGGAATGTCCTTATTAGACAAAAAAAAAAAATAGACTGGCGATACAAAAATTGAGGACAGCACAAAAATCATGAAGAAAGGAGATAAGACAAATACAAACAAGAAGCTTGAAACCTCAGGGTCAGCTAGCAAACAGAGACTAGAATTTCTGGAACCACGGTCTGAAGTACTAAAGTTGTGGACCCTTAAAAAGCATTATTGACACTGTCACTGTTTTGATGCACAGACATCTGATAAAAATTCTGATGATAAAAAATGATGAAACATTCATTGTGATGCAAACCCCAGCCTTTTATACTTGCATCCTGACATGAGATGCAAGTGCATAAGTCATGTGGTTGGCATCATGACATTTGCCATTTCCACTGTTCAGATGCAAATAAATTCCTTCCTTGGATGACCTAAGAAATGCTGTCAGATTGTGCGGGTTTGCATGTCTTCGGCAAACCTGTGTCAGAAAGAAGGTAGGAAGGAAAGCAAATGACACAAACCCCTTGTTTGCTAGCCATCTATTTAATAGGAAAGGGAGAAGGAGTTGAGGTAAGGATCCTTTCACATTAGGCAAGAGGAAATAACTGCTGAGAAGCTGGGAAAACTACTGTACTCTGAGTACATTTTTTAAATCTTAACTGGCTCTGTTCAATGATATGATGTTCAAGCAGAAATTAAACATCACTAGGTTTGGGAACAAGTTATCAAAGGACTGTGTAATCTAGGGGTGAATTCATTTTATCCATTTCCTTCTGAGTTCTTCTTCTTATGTTCATTCCATAGAGAAGGCTTTTTCTAGCTAAGTATTGGTGAGCTTATTTGCTTTGTAAGTAAACTCAGGAGAAGTCATAGCTGTATTTTTTTCAACAGTTAGGAAATTTATTGTAACAATATCTGTGATAGGACAAACTGTTGCTTATAATAATTTCATCACAATTTTAATGGTTTTCCTGAAATAAAGAAGCGGATGCCTATAAACATTAGAGAGAGAAATATACTATTGATTGAAATGAGCAGTGGTTATTTTTATCTTTATTTCCCTCTCACTGGACAACCTCAGGTACATCAAAAACCAAACTACAATCTACAATTATTTCTTCTACTGTGCTGCTGTGATAATCCATATCCATGAACCTTGCTTGAACTCTTGGCCTCAATATAATCTTCAGACAGTGAAATCTATAGGTTAATAGTACAAAAGAATGCTTAGTTTTATCTGCTGCTTTTCCATTTTTCTTAACATCTTTTTTGTGCTTCCCTGCACTGTTCGCTGTTTCAAAACATGATACATGCTCTCTGTGAAGTAATGTTATTACAGCTTAGTGTATAGACTTCCTGAGAGTCAATCCTTTCAGCCACAGATTTAAGATTTGTACTGTACTTTGTCTAGAACTTTGCCACTAAAAGGACTGCCATTGATTTCACTTTGTTTTAAAAACCAACAAGCATAGAAACAGATTTGAAACACACAAATCTGGGAATGAACTTTACTAGACGCAATGGAAGCAAATTTCTGGTACTCCAAAAAATTTAGATAGCCAGAGAAAATGCAACATTGTGCTGAATAGTACAAATCTATGAATGACTGCATTGTTTAATTTAAAAAAAAAACTGTAAAAGGGAACTATCTAACAATGTTGCATGTGGCTTTGTTAACTTAACAAAGAAGTAACTTTTCAAGGGATTGAATTAGCAGTACCAAACTATGCAAAAGAAGGAATTAACTGTAATTGAGTTAATACTTTTGTGTAAAGGTTAGGAGAACTGGTTTCTTGATACCTTTCATGTCTTATAGCATCTACATTTCCCCACACTATAATTAATACCAGAACAGTGTTCTAAACAATACAGTGCTTGGAACGCTATAAAACACTTTGCTTAATCAAATTTTGTACACAGCAAAACATACATATTGCACTATAAAAGCTTGGGTCTTCAGGAAGACGTAACTAAAGAGCTAAATCTTTACAGATCTTACATCTATTGCTTCTGTTAAGCAACAAGAGTATTTCTATGTCTGAGGTACCCCCCCCCCGCCCCCA